TAAGTTAGATATTTGTTCTGAAGTAGGCATCAAAAAGGACTTACATTGCCTGATTCTTAACCATCAAGCCAGCAATGTACATTATATGATGTTGATTCTGACCACTTGATTAGGAAGAATTAAGGTAGCTTGGTCGAATGTGGTGCCTGCATAGCTTTGAACCTGATTCAAATTTTTCCAGGTTTTACTATGTTAGACTTATATCGAACTGTATACAAATAGTGGTGGTAAATGGCTAGTTGCAACATTATTTACTGTTAATTACTTACACTACTACCCAGCCTGCCTTCCCAGTCAACCTGCATAATTCTGATTTGAGAGCAGGTCCTTCAGCATGATTTGATTAGTGCAAACTAATATTGAATGCTGGTCTTACTCGCCATGCCCATCATTGCCTAGCGACCAAGGGTTGAACCATTATGTTTGTATTTATTACTGGCTACAAGCAAGTATTTATATTTCAGATGTAGTTCAATACAATGAACTTATATTCTAGTGTATGATCGTTCATTTGTGCATTCATATATAATTTCTCAGATTTTACTGGACCAATGTATGCACTTTGATCCTCTCTCCATAAATGTAATTAACCATTATCATAATGGCATTCATTTATCTGTTCTCAAACAATGATTTAATTGCTCCTACTGTCAACTGTTTCTCAAATATGCCTAGCGTATTAGTCCCTGTTCGGACACAACTTATGTTTTGACCTCCATGTGTCCGTGCATGCGTGCGTGCGTCCGAACCTGTATCTTAGAAATGCCTGGAACAATCACAATCAAACTTCAAACATACATAATACATAATATTATACATATGCACATCTATTTGTTTCATGATCTGATTCAATATGGCCGATTGGCAGCCATTTTTGTGCACAAATCATCAAATATCAAGCATTTCTGGCATTAATGGATGGATATTGTTCAAACTTGGCACATACATTATACATTACGGTTCCTGATGCACGTCATTTTATTGTTGAGATCAGATTCAGAATGGCTGACTATCGGCCATTTTGTTTTAATGAATGGGCTTCTAGAGCCATATCTCTGACATGCTTTGACTGATTATGTTCAAATTTTATATATTCATTATACATGTATTCAAAACGGCTGAACAAATGTCAATCATTTTAATATTGAAATCATTGATATTGAAATCACTCATTGTTGGTTATTTAACAACATTCAAAGATCGATTAAAAATTGACAAATGTTTATCTTTCACAAGGGAAAGACAAAATAGTGGCAAAATGTTGCCCGTCATCCTTGTTGGTGGTGCATCATAAACATTTATTGTGGGCGTAATAACTTCCACACTATTCAGACGATTGCTATAAAACTAATATATCATTAATCTGTACATTTAGTTGGCCTGTATAGATTATTGAGTTGATTTTTGAACTGTTTTTGAATTGTATGTAGTGTCTATTTTCGAGTTCTCAATGGCAGCTAATTTACTTATACATTTCAAGGTTTCGCCGTGCGGGGACGTACTCCCAGTGGGGTTGTTTTTTGCTGCTAACAGAATCGTAACAATGGTAAATTTGCATTCGAGAAAAGTTTCTGAATTACGTCAATTACGTTTCTACAAGGAAGCGGAATAACTTGTTGTAATACACGAAAGGACAAGCTGATTGAACTCGTGGAACTTGCAAATGAGTTCAAAGTTCGCCTTTTAGAGCCTGACGATATATTTGCGTACTTAATACATCGATGTGACTGAACACCTTCCAGGTTAAAATAATATCAGCAACGGTTATCTTCTGTACAAATATTGTTTCCGTCAAGCTTCATCATGTTAAAGAAACTGAATTTATTTAAATCATGGCTGAGTGTGTTCGGGAAACACCCCAAAAAGAAAAACCTTACCAATGCTGGTCTCTGGTTAAAACATGTTCATAAATAATTTCCGGTGGCTGTAATTGCGTTGCGCAAGTCAGTTTTTTGTAAGTCAACTACAAGCGTCACTGAACATATGTTACACTTCCGCTCCTTGTCGAGTGATTTGAAATAAATCTTATTAATACATGTAATCGCTTTAATGATTGTATCTAAAAATAATTTCCATTGAAAGTATAATTCTTATTGCTGGGAAAGGATTGACCAGCTTTGTTATTAGTCCAAGAAAATTGTTTAGCTTGGAATGTGTATGCAAGAATGTAGGAATGTACCAAAAAAATTGACAATGTTTTTCTGGAGTAAATTGTAGTGTACTTATGAAAGGTCAAAAAGTGTATGAACATTTTATGAAAATGTGTTGATTTTAACAGAATGATCACAGTTGCGCAATAACTATTTTGGGCGTAGCTATAAAATGTGTCATCGAAGTACTCACACGTGTGCATAGATTTAAATAGTTTGTGCTGTGAAGGAACTCCATTAGAAAATAAGTATTGTGTAATTTGTAGTGAGAATATATTCAAATAGATTTATGTTTATGAATCTTGTTTCTTTTCAAAGTGTATTTATATAATAAAAATTGTTTATGCAAATGTTTTTCATACTTTTTCGATGGATTGAATTTACTAATGATGAGTTATTTTGTCATACCATCACTCGAATTATGTGTTACGAATTTCTGATAGTTTAGGTCATCATGGTACTGTTTTGGCATTATACAACTTGCAGTTCCCTTTTGATGGATTTTGTGTGACTGGCCGTGTTATCGAACTGTAGTATTATGTAAATCTGCCCCGGGAAAATCTACAAGCAAAGTTTAAATTGCCATTTTCATGCTGTGTATAACGTGGCGTCTCGTGTTCCCCAGCGCATTTAAAAATCCCTTTTGAATTTCGGGGACTTTGTGTGACTGCCCGTGGTGTTTGTAAACTTTAGTCGAACTGTAGTAGTGTGTAAATTTGCCAAAACGTGGAGTTGCCACCGTCTCTTGTTTAGTAACTCATTTAAATTTTGTGCCTCAACGAGGATTGAAAAGTGATTTCCATTTACTTACCTGTACTTCACTGTAATCACTGTTACTGTCACGTAATTTCTTACCTTGTTCTTGACCGCAGTACGCTTGGCTATGAACTTCCAGATACCCACACTCATGGGAATAGTGCATCGTGGGTAATACTGTAATGATCAAGGTGAAACAAACATGGCTGCCGTAATGCATGTTGTTCGACTACATCGCTCGTGTTTCTCTTCCTGTCTTAGAGTTCTCTATTTTCTTTGATTTTTGTTATTTCAATTACGAAGCGATTTGGCTGTGGCCATGCATTTAGTCATTGTCACTGTTTTTCTCGAATTGGTTGATTGTCATAGTAACATACGCTAAGTACAATTAAACGTCCCGAGTTGAAAAGTAGTCCTT